CTGAATGGAGTCGTACGACGAGGGGAGCGTGTTCACGTTGAGTTTGACATTCTCGCTCTTGCGAGTGCGCGCAATGTACTGGTTGCTCGGCCGGGCCACTGTCGGCCTTTCCGGCACGGGCATATACGTGGTTTGGCGGCCCGCGCGCGAGCCGCCCGCCGCGCAGCGCCACTAAATGGCGGCGGCGCTTTACACGGCAAGGAGAGGGGATCGTTCCGGATTCTTCGTTTCATCTTCCGGGCTAGGGACACACATAGGCAACGCCGCTCACAGATAGGTTGATAAGAAACAAGAAGCGCCCTCTCAGACAGTGTGAGAGAGAGAGAGATCGAAAACCAACAAACACGAAATCACAGTGGGTGAAAATCTCTCTCTCAGTGGGTGAGGGTGTGACGTGAGACGTGAGAGAGATTTTTAGCAATACCAAACAACTCTAACACTCACACGTAATCAGCACGTAATTCGGGGCCTGGAGCCCTGTTCACGCGCGCGCGAGACGTGCAGACAGGGTTGCCAGGTGAGAGCGAATGGCGCGGTTCACGCCTCGCACAACAGAGAGAGAGATGCGCTCTGCATGGTGGGACATATTTGTTTTTGAGACGTGTGAGAGGCGGACCTTCATTCACAGCCTTGTGATTGAGAAGGAAATACCTCGTTCACACAAAAGGTCGACCCGGACCCAAGAATGCCGAGAACAGAAGATTCGCAAAGAAAAACCTGCGCGATCGCGTATTCTTCTCTATTGCAATATTATGATCGGTGTGAAAACAGCATGGAAGGTGTGAATATATACAGTAATAGTAGTACCTGCCCCTCCCTGTGTGCTCAGGCAGTCCTCTAGTGTGTCTGGACTTGGCCTGAGCAACTGGTAGCGTTTGGGGCGTGAGCTTAGCCGAAGTATATAAGAGGGCTCCCGCGGCGATCAACACCGCAACTCCTTTTCTCGGTCGTTGCTCGCGCCGTTGGGAAACGCAAGGCGCACCTTTTTGTTTTGAAGACCTCGATACTTAGCGCACTGCTCGGGCGAGAGCTCAAACACGTGCCGCGTCTCGTCTTCGCCGCCGGCTACGCGCACAGACACAGTACGCGGCAGCGCCGACACGTCAACCCGCGTGTACGTCAGCGACGGGTCCCGCACGCCGCACGAGGCGCATGCGTGCAGCGGCAGCGCGTGCGCCATGCGCTCGTCGCTCCACTCGCCCAGCAGCCGCCGCTTCGTCTCGTCGGACGGACGTGCACGCAGCGCTGCAGCAGCGCCGCCGTCTCGTCCTCGGGCCGCTCCAGGTCCATGACGACGTTCGTCGAGGCGTGGAAGCGCGTCTCCAGGTCGATGGCCGCCTGCTCGGCCGCGGCGAGCTTGCCCTGGTCGACGCACATGCCGCACACCGCGTGCGCCGGGCAGCCGCACTGGCCGCGTTGTGGGCGCACGGTCTTGGCGACCGCCGGCGCTGCGCGCCGGTCGTGCTGCTCACGCTGCCGGCGGCGCTGGTCGCGCGCCTGCCGATCGCGCGTGTTCGCGGCGGCTGCATCTCCTGCTCGTTTCGCTCGCACCCGAGCGGCTGTCGCCAGGCGCTTCAGGTCGGCGGTGCTGCGCGCGCGGCCGTCGGCCAGGCACAGCCACATGTCCTCCTCCTCGGCAGGCTCGCACGGCTTGCCGTCGAACTGCGGCTGGCGCCCGCGACGATGCTTCGCCCAGGCCGGGCACGATGGTGCCGCGACGAGCGGCGTCGAGGCGACGGCCATCGATGGGTCCAGAAGACTTGGAGACACTTCTCGACCAAAAAATCAAAAAAGTCGAGCACAATTGCGTTACATGGGCATGGCCGGGGTTTCTGCACCGAACGATCTTACTTTCGGTCTATCGAAAGTGTTGATCGATAAAAGAATTCTGCGACCGCCAATCTGTAGACTGTCTCCTACGCACAACCGGACGCCTCGCGTACGCCACGCGTGCTCTCGTGCATCAACACGTGCTGGCAGGTAGCCCCTCGACAACGCCGGATGTGGCTCCTTCAGGCTGGTGCGCTGTTGGCGTACGGCAGCCCGACGCCGGCTCGCGCCCGGACGGCTCGCATGGCAGCCACCGCGGATGCGCCGTTCTGGTTCGACCCTTGCCTCGAGTTTGGCCTCGACGAGCCCCGCCCAGACGCAGGCACCCTGCCGCTCCTGCTCGTGCTGCCTGGAGCGGACGGCTCTGGAATCACCGCGTGGATGCAGTTCCCGTCGCTCGCACAAGAGTACGCGGTGCGCGCCCTCTGCGTGCCGGCCGGCGACCGCTCGAGCCACGCCGACCTGGTGGCGCTCGTGTCGCAAGAGGTGCGGTCGGTCGGCGAGGGTCGCGAGCTCTTCCTGCTGGGAGAGTCGATGGGGTCCGGGGTCGCCATCGACGTCGCGCTCGACGTGCCGCAGGAGCTGTCCGGCCTGTTGCTCGTCTCCCCCGCGACCGGCTGGCACCGCAAGCTCGGCTACCGGATCCTGACCTGGAGAGACTCTGTCTTGGTCTCGAACCGCGGCCCGTGGCCGGCTCTGCTCCAGCTAGTCCTCACGCTGAGCTCGTACGAGCTGCTCGACGCCGCGCAGGTCTCCCTCCCTCGGCTACACCTCGGCCGCACCTCGGCCGCACCTCGGCCGCACCTCGGCCGCACCTCGGCCGCACCTCGGCCGCACCTCGGCTATAATCGCACGAGCTGCTCGGCGCCGCGCAGGTCGCATCCACCTTCCGACGGCTGCTCACCGGAGAGAAGTCGCCCCTTCTGCTCGGCGAGGCGCGGACGAAGTACGCCTGGCGCGTCGTCACCGCGCTGCCGGCAAGACTCGCCCTCTCCCCGGCGACGGCCTCGCACCGCAAGGGCTGGGCGGAGCCCACGTTCGCCGCCGGCAGACGGGTGGCCGAGCTGCAGGTCCCGGTGCTGTGCGTGGCCGGGACAGCCGACCTCCGCGTGCCTGCCGCGGACGAGGCTCGACGCTTCGAGCGCGAGGTCTGAGTCACGCGGCCGCATCTCCACCCTGTCTCGACCCTTCTGAACCCTCTCTCGGCCGCGTCTCGACCTGTCTCGGCTACATCTCGGATACATCGAACCCAGCAACCCTTTTCAGGGTTCCTCTCGATTGCAAGGTGTCGCGCTGCCGGTGCGTCTACGTCGAGGGCGCGGGGCACGCCGGCGCGACAGACGATCGGCTCGACTTGCGCGCCGAGCTCGCTGCGTGGCGAAGGGAAGTGATAGAGGTGAGCCGGAAGGAGCCCACCACGGCCGCGACGGTCTGACGCATCACAGAAAAAAAGAAGGCGTGAAGATGATTTTTTCTTTCACTTTGGCACGGCTCGGCGAGGGGCTCACGGCGGGGTCGCACACGGCGGGGGTGTGACTGGGCCGCTGTGGAGCGATGTGGTCAGGGGAACGACGAGACACAAATGGGACAAGCGTCAGCGGATCAAGGATCAGCACGGCGAGCGCGAGATTGAATTCGCCGACGTGGATGATCATAACGTGGTGACAAAGACCGTCATGGGAGCGCGGGTGCTGCGCGGGTGCGGCAGCTAGCAGGCGAGGAGGGCGGCACTAAAGCGGACCCGCTGTGTCCGATCGTGCGGCTATGCGGAAAGCCGCGCAGCAATGGACCGAGGAAGATGAGAACCCGCCTAGAGCGACAATGGCGCACTTGCTTAGCAGCGCCTGCCTGGGGAATAGGGAGCAGGCCAGATGGTTCCTCAGAGTAGCGCGAGCGCAGACGGGGACGGCGATCAGCAAAGTAGCACAGGCGGCACCCGACTCCAAGGATACGCTGAAGACGCTGAGGATGGCGCATGTCGCTGCGCTGAAGGGCTCACGCTATAGGGTGCTGGATGAGGACGGGTACGATGCGCTAGCCCCCGCAGTCGGGGGGGTGTTGCCAGCACTGGTAGATGACCGCTCGGAGAAGAGCCGGAGGGACCTTGGCGCCGGGGTCACGAGGAACTTGCAAGTCGTGGCCGAGGCGGCGACGGGAGCGGTGCAGAGGTGGATCCAGCTCAACGATGAGGCTACCGCGCGCATAATGAAGAGAGAGGAACACATCGAGTGGCTGAGGAAGCTCTTCGCTGGGTGGAAGGAGGCCCGGTCGGCCTTGAGGGAGTCGCGGAGGAGGAGGGATAACGGAGGTAACGTGCGGACAGGCCAGCAGCCAGTGGGACGAAGACGAGGGCCGCGATGGCAGCTCAAGCGGGAGGGAGCGGAGACAGTGGGCAGCGAGCGAAGTGGGTGAGACTGATGATGCTCCTTCGACTTAGGGAGCGGTTCAGCTGCTGGGCGGGCTTCAGGGTGGTGCTCACGAGAAAAGGAATCGACGCAATGTACAAAGCATACAAGAAGAGGAGAAAGAAGAGGACGGACATCGGTGATGACGAAACAGAAACTAGCGCAGGCGAGAGCAGGGCAGACCCGGAGATGGGGGAGTCGGAGCAGACGGCATCGGCCGCCGAGGGAATGTTGGGAAGAGGCACGAGGAGGGCGGCGACCTCAACCGACTATGGATGACCCGTCGCCAGACGACGCAGGGCAGACGACGGGGAGGCGGAGCAGACGCGCAGGGCGAGACGAGGGAGGGAGCAGGACTTTGCGGAGATCAGCAGGAGGATGTACGAAGACATTAAGAGTAGCAGGGACCCGAGGGACCATGTGGAAGACGGCTAGTGCTAGTCCCCCACCGGGAGGACGACCCCGGCTAGTCGCCGACCACACACCCACAAAGAACCCTGCACAAAGATCGCACGGGCGGGGACCTGTTCCTTTTCACCCATCTCACAGTAGAGGTGTCCGTTTTTTTATTTATCATCGCGCTGGCCGAGACGGGTGTCGGGTCATGCTCATGGTTCGCCCCTCTCTGTGGTGCTCGCACACGCGCAACACCGAACACGACCCCCCCGCGCGATACACACCACACCACACACGCCGCACGCCGCCAGAGGCAGTCTCGAGTGTGCTCAGGTGAGCTGCTCATTCTTCCATCGCGGCCTCAAAGGCTTAAACAAAGGCGGAGGCGTCGGCTTCCCCCTCCAGCTCCTTGCTGGGGTCTGCCGCCTCATCGGCCTCGAAGCGCGAGAACGCAAAGTGGGTCTCGTAGGGCGATGCCACTTCGTACATGGCCGCACTGCCTGCGCACACGCACGGAGCGCGAGTCAGATGACACAAGACTTTACGCCACCCTGTATCCGCACAGCTGCGCGCCTTCGATCGCGCCCTCGGCCATGGCGCTCGTCTTGAAGCGGCCGGCGTGGCTGCCCAGAGGCGGGTAGGCGTCGCGCTTGCCGTTGCGCGGCGTTGTTGCAGAGAAGGACTGGCCCACGATGCCTACAAGAAGGTTCCGTGAGGCTTCCACGCTGGTCTAGTCGCACCACAGCGCCAGGGCTGCCGGTGAACGCCGTGCGGGAGGGAGCGGGCTGCCGCGTCGCCCGCCGTGAGGATGTTGATATCGAGCTGGTGCTTTGGGCCCGAGATCCTCCACCCCACCGTGTTGGCCCCGACGGTGAAGGTCCAGCCACGCACCTGAAATGAGAAAAGGAGGAGGAGGTGGTGGTGGTGGCGGTGGCGGTTGGGGGGGGAGAGGGTGTTGTGAGGGCCTCGAATGTCGCGCTCGAGTAGTGCGGCTTGATCGAGAGCTCCTCGCAGCGCCGCAGCGTGGTGCCGAGACCAAAGAAAAAGGCATGGCCGCCGCAAGAGCCGGTGATAAAGTCGAGGCCGGTGTTGTACTCGGTGAGCCGTGAGGCGATGAAGGAGACATTGGCCCACTTGCGCTTTGCCCCACCGACCCGTGCGATAACGTGCGCCTCGGTGATGTAGGATCCATCAATGGTCGTGTTGGGCCACCAAGGCGGCGTGAACGTGGCGTCCTCAGTCTTGACGTTGAGCGCAACGCCTGGCGCGGAGAAGAAGGAGTAGATCGCGCCGTCGCGGCCCCTCAAGTCTGCCTGCCCGCCGTGGGCAAAGTGGACATGCGGGTCGCCGGCGACGCCCGGGGTGGGGAACGATCGGCCACCCTTCGCGTGCGGAGGCGGCGGCGACGGCGGCGGCGTGAGCACCCTGTCGATGACATGGACCACGCCGTTGCGCGCAATGATGTCGGCGACGGTCACCTGTGCATCGTTGATGAAGACGCCCGAGCTCGTGACTCGAGCCACCGCCATCTCGCCGGCGGCCGTCTCGATCTCGCCGCTCGTGAGCTGTGTCGACAGCACGCCCTGCCCCGAGACGACGTGGTACAGGAGCACGCTCGTCAGCGCGCCGGACGGGTCGGCGAGCAACGCGTCGAGGGTGCCGGCGGGCAGCGCGCTGAAGGCGGCGTCCGTCGGAGCGAAGACGGTGAAGGGGCCGTCGCCGTCGAGTGCGCCGACGAGCTCAGCGGCGACGAGCGCGGCCTCGAGGGTCTGGTGCGATGGGCTCGCCGCCACGATGGCTGCGATGGAGGGCGGCGGCGACGGCGGCGGCGTGAGCACCCTGTCGATGACATGGACCACGCCGTTGCGCGCAATGATGTCGGCGACGGTCACCTGTGCATCGTTGATGAAGACGCCCGAGCTCGTGACTCGAGCCACCGCCATCTCGCCGGCGGCCGTCTCGATCTCGCCGCTCGTGAGCTGTGTCGACAGCACGCCCTGCCCCGAGACGACGTGGTACAGGAGCACGCTCGTCAGCGCGCCGGACGGGTCGGCGAGCAACGCGTCGAGGGTGCCGGCGGGCAGCGCGCTGAAGGCGGCGTCCGTCGGAGCGAAGACGGTGAAGGGGCCGTCGCCGTCGAGTGCGCCGACGAGCTCAGCGGCGACGAGCGCGGCCTCGAGGGTCTGGTGCGATGGGCTCGCCGCCACGATGGCTGCGATGGAGGGCGGCGGCGGCGGCGGCGGCGGCGACGGCAATAGGGGTCCTGCCACGGTGATCGCGATCTTTTGACCGGCCATGCAGTGGAACCCCACCGAGCAGATGTAGTAAAACGTGCCTGGTTGATCCATTGTGATGGACAGCCTTCCTCCGCTTGACGGTGCCACCAGCTGCTGCCCGTCTAGCACGCAGCTGTCGAAGTCTGTCTTCGAGAGTGACATAACCACATTGTGATAGCCACTCCACGCAAAGGTGATGACCTGTCCGACCTCGGCCGTCATCTCGCCTGGGCTCATCGGGATGGACCATGCCAGTGTCGTTGCCACCGACTTGCGTGTTCGCGCCCTCGGAGAAAGCTCCACGCAGCCATCGGAGGCTCTCTGACCGTCGGGAAACGGCACCGTGTGAAGCTCATCGACGGCGGGCCTCTGGACATGAAGGCAAGTGCCTCCGGGCCAAACCACGTCAATAGA